AGCAAAAACTCTGTCAAAAAATTAAGGCTTGACCCGAACTTTCTGCTCGGGCCTTAGCGAGCCGAACCGGCTCAATTTTTTTAAAAAATTCATGAAAAATCTAAATTTTTTTTAAAGAATTTAAAATTTGTGTAATTTATACGTACTATAAATAATAACTAAATATTACATATAAAAAAATTATAGCTGTAAGTATTTTTTTATAACTTTTTAGGCTCACAGGCTTGCCCGGGCTCGAGCCGACACCCCCAAATGGGGCTTAGCCCGAGCCTCGACTCTGTCCTACCAAGCCACGAGCCAGCCCGGCTCGGAAAAAGCCCGAGCCGCTTAAGTCGGCGAGCCATATTGATATTCCTAGTTGTATATATCACATATGTATATGTGCACGGTAGGATTATTGTTGCCATTTGGGGGAAGGCACAATTAGTTGCTAGGAGTTTATTTAAGGTTGAGGCTGATAGTTGGAGAATGGATTGAAATAGGAAATGTGTAGGGAAATAGTATTGTGTTTGGAGAGAAAAAGCAAAAAATGTGATTAAGAAGAAAGATTGTTAGAAAAATGGTAGAATTCTATTCCGTGGGAGTTCATTAATGTGTTTTCGTGGTAGAAATTCAAGAAGGCAGTTCATCAGGAAAATATCCTCAATCTCGTGAGCTAATAGAAGTTCGATCTACTCCTTTAAAACTAGAAGACAAAGGTTAAACAAAGATCGACGAGCTGAAGGAAATAAATTTCGGCAGGAAGGCTAGCCATTAAATGCGCTTTTTATCAAAGATAAACCATATTTAAGTTCAAATATGTTAGAGCATATATGTGTACTACACAAGTAAATATGTGTATTATATGTATTGTTGACCTCAAAAAATGTATTGTATTATCAAAGTCAGCGGGAATCGTACTATAATTCAACTAGATATTACATACGTTCATGTAGTAAGTCACTTTGCTTGTGCTCCTAGAACATCTCAATGGTCGGACGTTTTATGTATCTTTAAATATTTGCAAGGCACTCTTCGTAATGGTTTATTATTGTTTATATAGTCTAATCTAAGTCTTAGAGCTTTTTTCGATGTTGATTGGGTTGGTGATCCTACAGATATAAAGTCTACTAAAGCTTATTGCATATTTTTGGGCGATTCTTACTATCTTGCAAAAGTAAGAAACCACAGTTGCTAGATCTTTAGTAGATTGATGTATCAAGCGATGACTTATATTGCAGTTGAAATTATTTTGTTTAAGCGACATTCTTGGTGAGTTGGCGCCCCTCAATTTGGTGTTACTTCAATGCATTGTGACAATCAGAGTGCGCATTCAGATTGCTAAGGATCCTATTTTCATGAACACAAAGTATATAGAGATTGATGGTCACCTTGTGAATCATCACCTTTTGACACGCTTCATCTATATTCCTCACACCTCCTCTACCATGAAGCTTGTTGCCTTTTTCACAAAATTTCATGCAAGTACTTGATTTCGATAACATTTGGATTGACTCATTATGGTTTGTCCATGTTTGACAGGAAGTATTAGAATTTATATGCGTATATTGTATGTAGTATTTTACCTTTTTTTGTTCTTTTATTTATAAATTCCTCGTAGAACAACTAAAGTTAAATAGATTACATTAGCAATACGATGACAGCTTTCCTGAGATATTTATGTTAAATATACACATCATCTGAATTTGGTACGAATAAAACATCACATATGAAATTATAACTGCGCGACTAATACTAATATTGGACGAAGATATTTAATAATTGCCATTATTATGAACCTAAACATATGCATATTTCTATGTTTGACGAAGCAAATGGACACATTTAACAATATTGAAAAAAAAAAAAAAAGAAGAAGTTAAAAGTTTTGTCGCACTATTGTAGTTAGGAATTGAACATTTGCCGCAATGATGGTTGTTTTAACTTTTTAAATTGAAAATTACATGTCATATTTGATACACAATAGTAGACAGAGGCAACCTTGAGCCAACGCCACTAAGGTAATGTCTTAGGGCCTCCAAAGTTGGGAATCTCACAAAAAAAAAGAAAGAGAGAGAAAAAAAAAAATCATACTTGTTTATTTTAATTATTTTTATATTTAAAACTTATTCATAATTCCTTTCATACAAGCTCTTCATTTAAATGTAAGTATGCTATTTATTAAAATATTTATAATATTGTTACGTTTGCAAAAAATTAAATATAAGAGCCTCATGATAAATAGTCGTCTAAGACCTCAAAGTTCTCATGATCGACCCTGGTAGTAGGGGCACGTTTGGTAAGATTTTTTCTTTTGCTAACTATAAAAATCAAATGACATATTTCTATACATGAACTCTAATTTTTCAAATTTTTTAATAACACATTCTTTAAAAAATAATTTTAATTAACAACGATATGACAAGCCAACTTATTGTTGTGGATCTTTCACATTATTGCTATATGACATGCCAATTTGTCATAATGCACTCGTTGTAAAAGAATTAAAAAGGAAATACACATTTTTAATGTTTTAACCTTAAAAGATCGACATAGCCTTCATATTATTTTTGTTTCTGAGACGACGCATAGGAAAATCAATAACAACATGATTATTATATTAATCAATTTCGGTTAATCTCTAGAACGATAGGTGACCGAATGGATATAATGATGAAATTCAAAACTAAACTGAAGTTCGGTGATTCAACTGAGATAAACTAAAGCTTAATAGCCTAATTAAGATTTCACTAAAGTCCGTCGACCTCGGAGGCAATTTGCTCTTCTACATTTGCAGTCTTCCTGGTGAATAATGTTACAAAGGACTGCTGGAGAATTGGAAGTCTCAATTAATTTATCTTGTCACAACTTTTTTTCATGTTTTCATGGTGGCTTTCATTAGAGGATAATAGAAATCCAACTTTATGAAAAATCATGAGGCTACTTAATTGATTCATTGATTATCATCTTAAGCTCTTAGCCCACTAATGTCTTGTCAAGAAGCTTGAATGATGTTTCTCTTTTAACCTAACATTCAGTATTTCATAGAAAAAAATGAATAAATACATAAAATTCTTCTTTTTATTACATGAAATTAAAATTGTGTTTTGAGTTTTCCATTGTAAGTATAATCTTGTTTTCAAAGATGCTTTTTCAAAAAAACGAGACAATACAAGTTTTGGGCGTTTCGTAAAATTTAAAACTGACAACAAAAAATCAAACGCACCTCGTGTTTTTGATTGAGAGAGATTATTAGTAGTTAAAGTTGAATTTTTTAAAAATATATAATTAAAAAGTAGAAAAATGTTGTAGATTCAAACAAAAAAGCTTTTTTTATTGGGAATAGTGTAATTAAAAATAATTTTAAAATAAATTGTGTCCAACAAACGTTAAAATTCAATAACTTGAAAGACACTTGACTCAGCCCCCCACATTCAACCTGATATATTTCTTGGACTATATTTGGAGTATACGCAACATAATATCGATGCATATGGCAAATACATTAAAATATATGGAAAATGTTTATTGTACATTACAATTTATATAATATTTTATGAATTGATGAGGTGTCAAAAAGAAAGTGAGATTTTATTTTTTATTTTTTTTTATTTGCTTGATGAGAATCAAATTCCGTTGTATTATCTGTTGATAAATAAATCTATAAATTGTCATGTAAATGTAGCAAGTTGAAAATATGTTGCAATTATTTGAAAGGAAATCTTTTGGGACAGATAATTAGCTGTATTCAATCAATGCTCAACCCTTTTGAATCAGGAAAAAAAATATTAAAATATTATGATTTGAACGAGTCTTTGTTCATAATTCCATGCTCAATCCCAATGCAGTATGAGATTTATAAATGAAAATTGCTACCTAACAATATTGAAAAATGCCGTTCATCCCCATTGAGAATGTATCCCCAGTCTATGTGATATTAAATAATAGGTGAAATTAAATAAGTCATTTAATTTCACATATCATTTAACCAATCATTTACATCCACATAGACTGTGGATGAATAGTATTTTTCAACAATATTAGTGCTACAACAACAACTTAGATGATATTAAGTGTTATGTTCAATAAAACGTAAATTAAGTAATTTATTTAATTATATGTCACGTTAGTGCCACCTAAACTTGTATTTTAATACCAGTGATGCTAAATAATATTATTAAAATCTTTATAAATTAGCTTCTTTAAGAAAAATAATCATATATACATATGCGCAACATATCAGCAGGGGCTGATTAAAGAGGGACAAAATAATTGTATTAAATTCATACATAGAAAAAAATCATGAAAATGTTTACCTAAGAAATATTAAATGATTGCCCCCTTCCTCTGCCTGTGCATAAATGTTAGAGCAACCCGATGTTATTAAGCCCTTGTTTGATGATCATTATTTCGAAAAAAAATGAAGTTTTGAATAGTAATTTTTTGAAAAATATGTGATTGAAAGGAATGAACAAGTTTTGGGTTTATGTACAAAATACTTTATTGTATAAATATGTGATTAAAAATGAGTATGAGAATTAAAAAATTTTGAAATAATAGTTATCAAACAGGGGCTAATTATTACAAAAAATCCATTCACTCGTCAAATAGCAAAGGTGTTATAATTTATTATTTAGCCTCAATTTGATAAAGATTAAAATCAAAATTTTATTTTAATCTAAATAAAGTCAATAATTAACTTACCTTTTATTGAACATAACCCTTTATCGGGCTAGATCTCCATGGTGGAGGCAGATAAAGCTTATATGTGGCACTTGATGTTTTAGTAGAGCAGTTGACAAAGTTGTTTGTATCCTGAATAAATTTAAGTGTACAACATTTGTAAACAATAACGATTGACAATCATGTGTGGGGGTATGAGTGGGGGTGGGAAGAAAATCAACTATTTCAAATGAAGTTTTGGGCTCAATGCACATGCAGAGTTCCTTAGAACCACTACAATTGCAGTAGAGCGCACATTCGGTTCTAGGGACTCCATTCCCTAACTTGTTGATGCGTTCTCAAAGTTCCAAACCCAGATTTACAGATTTGGGTTGTGTTGTGTTGGGGGTGGGGTGGGGTNTCCATTGCTCAAATGCACAATGGAAGTTCCTACTTTCCTCCTCATTTCTGAATTGAATGGAGATTCCCCTGGAATAGCTTTTCTGATTCAACAGCAAAAAAGTCAACACCAAAAAAATCTTATTCTCACTGTATAACACCAGCCAAAAATAGAAAATTGTTTCCTTTTTCAGTTGCAACTGATTCACATATATTCCAATCAAAATAGACAAAATAGAATAGGAAAAATCATACTTCCAAAGCAGGCTATAATTTAAATCTCAGATGAGGGTTTTAAACTGCTTCCGATGAGCTCTCTTGATACAATACTAGTATAACACATAGGGCTATAGGGTATGGTCCAGGTAATACAAATCAAATTTTAAGTTCCTTGCACCTCCAATTATTCATGTAGTACAGGATAGGAAAATGAGTATGACATTGGGCACAAGGTAACGCATTAAATATCATACCTCTTTATCCATTTCAGAAGCTTCAGATATACATACTGATTGAAATGGACTTAACTTGAAAAGCTGGACAGAAATCAAAAGAAATTAGAACAACTCATCCCAAAAATACACAGGCCCCGTTCGGGAGTGATTAAAATCCAATTAAAATTGAAAATATGGCCGTTATTGGGCCCCATCCGTCTAATAAAAGTCAACAATAACGGCTATATTTTCAATTTTAATCCGATTTTAATCTCTCCCATACAAGGCCTAAATGAACTTCTACGAAAATATTAAAACCGATCTAATCTAATTTAAACAAACATAATTTGAATCAATCTGAATCCTATCTTTATTCTTATCTTCATTTCTCGAAATCTGTACTAAGTTTTAGAATTTTACTAGAATAGTAGAATATTCACCTTCAAACAATAGGATTTTTACATATCAAACATATATCTAGCAATTTTTAATGTCTCTCTAAATTGGAGACTTGTGAAATTAGATCTTGGCTCTAGCTTCAGCACTTACGTGTTCTGCAATGAAGCGTCTGTACCAAGTTGACGATAACTTTGGAATTCTCTTATAAGTGTTCCGATCAACATGGTAAAGCCCAAAATGTTTAGTGTATCCACTTGTCCACTCAAAGTTGTCGAGGAGGGACCAGACAAAGTATCCCCTCACATCTGCTCCTTTCCTGTTCATGCAGTAAAGTACACAGATGATCAGCTGTGATTCAATGTCAATACTCAACTTTCGGCCAAAGTTTGTTGTATTTTAGAATTTCGAGCATGTGAAGAAACAGGAGAACCACATGCATCCTTTTATAGTTAATCGGTGTTGTTGATGGATAAGAAATTTATTTATTTTTTGCATCAAGCACTAGTGTGTTTACCTTATGGCTGTTGACAGGGCACCCAAGTAGTTGGCCAGGAACTTTACTCGCTTGTTGTCATTTACAGATTCTTCAATGGTGGAATTCGAATTGCTGACCTCGCAATATCCTAAAATTCATCTTATATTTGTCAATAATATATCAAATATTAAAAAAAAAAGGGAGCAAAATCGTGAAAATAACTAATTGTAAGGGAGGAAGAACAAAGAAAAAGGGAAACTATATTATTATTGTCTGCTGTACTAACCATTTTCTGTAATGATAATTGGTGTGTTATTGTATCTTTCTTTTAAATAAGTGACAATTTTTTCCATTCCTTGCGGGTAATAATGGAATGGCGCCATCCCAGTCTGCAAAAATTAGACACATCAGTAATCATGCTAGGACAACTGCTGAAACTATAAAGCTGGAAACAAACTTACAACTTCTCCAATGGGAATGCCATCCTTCTCTGTCGTTTGTCTGATGAAACCTTCAGTTCTCGAGGTCCCTGGTATGGGTTCACATGTCGAAAACATGCAGTCTTGGACATAGAAGCCGGCATAATGATTTAAGCCAATGAAATCCAATCCCTTCTGTAGTTTAAACAAGTCATTGCTTGAAAATTCTGGTAAAGTGGATCCAAGAATGTTCTTCATTTGCCTTGGATATTTTCCCAGTATGATTGGGTCCAGGAACCTGCCGGCATTTAATATTGTCATTCATTATTAGTTCATCACCATGATTTTTTTCTCTTTTATCATATCAAGTCATTTCCTATATGGGTTGAATTTTGAAGGGAGTTACCAGTTTGAAAGGAAATCTTGGCCTCTTTCTGCTGCTAGCTTGTCAGCGGTGGAGTTGCTTATGGGTTCAAACCATAGGGCCTGTACCGTAATTCCTATTTGACCTCCTTGTTGCTTCTGGAATTTACCAACACAAATGAGTTTGGTGAGTGAATTGTATCTTGTAAGAGACAAATTTGTTGTGTAGTGCTTGGTATCTTTTCCTTTTAAAATCACTGTAAACTTATCTGATAGTTTTGAAGTGTTGAGTCTTAAATGTTGTATTGGTGGATAAGAAACAGACAGTGTACCTGGTATTTAGTTCTGTATAAATGAACAGCAGCTGCATGAGCCAGAATAATGTTGTGGGCTGCGATGAAGGGCTCCGTCTCTGAATTTCCTACTGTGCAATTCCCAAATTGTTTGGAACAACGACCCGGAGGGTAAACGCCATAGCGATAAGCCAAAATGGAAAACACATTTGGCTCATTGAAGGTGATCCAATATTTTACTCTGTCCCCAAAACTTCTGAAACAAATGTCTGCGAAGTATTCAAAATCTTCCCTGAAAAGAAACAAAAAATTGGCTTTGGATTAAGCCATGCAAGTTCAACAGCATTTATTTCATGTAAATACTCGAGAGACTAATTGCACATACTGTAGTTTGGGACTTAGCCAGGCTCCATATCTGTTCTCTAATTCTTGAGGGATGTCAAAGTGATTCATTGTCACCACTGGTTGGATTCCTGTGGACAAAGACCAGATCATGAGAAATGAGGAAGTTGTTGCTTCCTTGATAATTTTTAATGTGGCCTAGATCTTAAGACACGAATATTCAGTCAATTTGTTGGTAACATTACAGACGGAGTCAAACCTTTGAGGAGGAGAGCATCAATGAGCTTGTTGTAGTGGTCAATGCCTGCCAAATTCACAGCCCCATATTTCCCTTCTGTTTTCCAACAAAAGAGTTTTAAATTAGGAAGTTGTACAGTCAACGTCTATTATAATAGTTTGATGTAATGATAAGAGAAATGTGCTCACTTGGTAGGATTCTTCCCCAGGAAATTGAAAACCGATAGCTGTTCACTCCCATAGAGGCCATAAGATCTACGTCTTCCTGTTTCAAGAAATTAAGGTTTCAAGGAATTAAGGAACATAATTCATGAATGCGGTCTAAGGTTAAAAAATTGCTATCCTAATTGAAAAGAAACAGTTCGTGGCTGGGTTACCAGATAACGATTATAGTGATCAGTAGCAATATCTCCATTAGTTCCATCAATTACAGCACCTGCAAAAGCGTGGTTGTGTTAATGAATATTCACAAATTTAATTGTGGTTGGTCATCAAAATTATATCTTATTGTGCGTTTGATTTCGAGCATGGAAAGAAAATAAATTCTAAAAAATATTGATGACGTTTTTAACCTAGAAAATATTATACATGTCCATTTTTTATTGGTGGATAGACGAGAGAGAGAAAGAGAGAGTGAATTACTTGGAAAATAAAAATCAGATATATTTTCCTTGTTTCAAGGAATATATGATCACGTGAGAAAAAAATTGTCCATCAAACGGCACAAAATAGAAAATAAGGTGGAAAAAACACATTTTCTATGAAAAATATTGGCAATCAAACGCGAGGAAGTTTCCTTTGGTTACTTCTCAACCACATGTCATAGAATCAAACCATATTATGTTCAAGCGTTTTACTTTATTATCATCTTTAATACTGTCCAATTATTTTTGATGACTCTTACAACCTTTTCTGAGTGACAAAAACATGATGGTGATGTTAATTTCCTTACCTGGTTTGTGCGTAAAAACATCCCAATTGTTCAGACCTTTACCATCGGCCTCGAAAGCACCTTCATACTGCAAAAGTTGAGGAAGAACAGAAATTCATTCAGCACCAAAAAATCAGTACAATTTTCAACTGTCTACTTAGGTAGCATCGAAAATTGTCGTATATCGCAGAAATGCTTGCCGATTGATTATATTTTTCGCGGGAACGAATATGATTGAAGAAGGATTGTGTACCTGATATGCAGAAGATGAAGTCCCAAAAAGGAAGTTGGCTGGAAAGGGAGAGGGATTTGATCTGTATTTCAGAGTTTTGAGATGACTTTCTACCAAGAAAGGACATACCAGCAATCCCAGAATCAAGACAACTATATTTTGTAAGGAAATCTCCATGCTCTCTTTTGCTGTAAGGATTTTCTCTTTTGCTGTAAGGATTTTACTACAAGATTTGTTTTTTTTAACAATCTACAATTGTCTATATATATATACATAAATAGAAGGTAGGTGGAAGAAGAGGGAAGTAACAGACTCTTTGATTTATTCAAATCTTACAGCCTTCCATAAATTAATTTGGTCAACTATTTGACAGGCGCAGAATCAAGAATGGAAAAGATAAAGAGTATATTGACCCCTATTTGGTGGGGGGATAAATAACATATTTTCAGTCGGTCCCATAAAATGTATGGTTAAAATTAGTTATTGACTTTGACTTAGTTTGAAATGTCGATTTTAATTTCTACCAAACGGGGCAAATAAATCAAGATTATATTACTGTTTTAAGCACTATCTATTAAGAGTAGAGTGCTGCCACCGCCTACTACAACGATGTTTGTAGTTGAGATTACATTGGTCAATTCTTGTGTTGTTTTTGTTAAGTTTCGTATTATATTTACCAAATTTTTTGGACCCCAAATGCTAAAAAATAAGTTGTGGATAATTTTATAAGATAGAGAAAGATTATCCTCAAAATTAATTAAAATTATTTTTATTTTTTCGATTTTAAGAAAAAGGGATTAAACTTTTATTGAGCATCATACATATGTGGATGTGAAGGTGATGTCTAACAACTGCCTATCTATAATTGAAGAAAGAGAATTCGACTAATGTCTTTTTAGTTATGTGTCCCTTTAACTTATATCAATAAAACTCGACAATTCTAGCCAACCAAAAAAAAAAAAAAAGGAAGAATTATTGAAAAGATGGAGATAGAAGAAAAGTTTCAAAATTTATAAATATTTTTGACGTGTGGTCAAATCTCCACGAGTGTAAAAGGGAAATAGATAAGAAACTCAAATTCCTAATTAGTGGCGGAGGGAGGTGGGGGCCATTATCCATAAATAAATGAATAATTCTACTCAAACAGGGCAAAAAACAGAGGATTGAGATGGATGCACCTCAGCCCTTGATTTCCTCATGAATTAATTCAAATCACCCCTGTTTTTGGTCCTGTTTGAGTAGCAGATCTCTAAATAAATTGGGCAAAAATACGAATTTTTTATATTTTTATATTTTATTTTTGAAAAAATATATAATTAAATTAGGTCCCCACTGATTTTGTATCCTGATCGAATTTGACTAAAATCACGTGAATTGTTATTTAAATGCCAATTTTCTAATTAATTGTGCACCCACCTAATTTGTTAAATTATTTATATACTCTTACGTAAAAGAGGGTCAAATTTGGGGGGATTAAATAGAAAATAGAAAAAGAAATACAGATGTTAACGTTTATCTGGTTGGTGAAGATTGTTAATGATAATTTTTGGCACGTATTAGCCAGATAATTAATAATGGTAAGGTTATGATGCCACGTCAGTGCATATCTGGATGGACTTTCCGTAAATCGGACGTGAAATTAATGTAACTTAAAGTTTAGGACACGTTTTTAATTTTAAGTAATGAAGTTGAAATTAATTAATTGAGAATCTATAATATATTAAATATCACAATTAGAAATATGTTTTTTGACGATATAGCTTTACTACAATTCGATTATTTTAATAATACCTCACTTTACATTTTTCAATATGTAATAAATATTACAAAAATCTTGTCATGCATGAATTTCATGTTTTTAATTCTCAATTAATTAATATCCACATTAATCTAGATTGAATGAATCTTGATTTCATAATCTACATGAATTTCAAGTTATTATTAATAAATTTATTTCTATTCATGTATTTAGAAATTTTAATGAGTGTTTAAATTTATTAATTAGCAATTACTCCATCCGTCCCATTTATATGCACTGATTTTTCTAATTATTTTTTTGTCACAATTATATAGTCTCGTTTCTTTATTAATAATTTTTTGTTTTATTCGTTTACTAATATATTCTTATTTAATTTATGTGTTGTTGAAAATTAGTAGAAGAATGAGAATGAAAAAAAGAATGGTTACCAAACGGTGCCTAACTTAAAGTTTAGGACACGTTTTTAATTTTAAGTAATGAAGTTGAAATTAATTAATCGAGAATCTATAATATATTAAATATCACATTTATAAATATGTTTTTTTGACGATTTAGCTTTACTACAATTCAATTATTTTAATAATACCCCACTTTACGTTTTTAATATGTAATAAATATTACAAAAATCTTGTCATGCATGAATTTCATGTTTTTAATCTCAATTAATTAATATTCACATTAATCTAGATTCAATGAATCTTGATTTCATAATCTACATGAATTTCAAGTTATTATTAATAAATTTATTTCTATTCATGTATTTAGAAATTTTAATGAGTATTTAAATTTATTAATTAGCAATTACTCCATTCGTCCCATTTATATGCACTGATTTTTCTAATTATTTTTTTGTCACAATTATATAGTCTCGTTTCTTTATTAATAATTTTTTGTTTTATTCGTTTACTAATATATTCTTATTTAATTT